AAGGTGAAATAACTATAAATATTAGATGTGAAATAGAAACAAAAAAAATTGCCTCAGCAACTAACTGAAAAAGTACTGAAACAAGCAATATAAAAGCAAAGATGAAAAATGAAAGAACTAAAAGTAATGCAGCATGATCAAACCAGGAGGAAAGGTAATAAGATATGGTGCCAGAAAAATTCACACACATTTGTCAAAGTCCAAATTATAGCAAGCTGTGAGTGCAAAAACAAAGTTTGTTCTAGGCCAACATATGTGAGAGCATTTATGAGCCTGTCTTAGTGCACTTGCTGTGAGAGAGAATGAGGTAATTTCTCAGGTGAGAGCAGAGGTGAGTGCGCTTTTAAAGGCAGTGAGGTCTCACCTGCTCTCCTCATGGGGCAGGAGGACGTTAGCTGGCTGTTTCTCCTCAGGTGAGAGGGAGAGCGGTGCATCAACATGGGGCTGGGCTGTGGAGGAGCATGTGGAACCCATGCTGGACAACTCGTTTGGGGGGTTCGCAGGAAGGGAAGGGTCAGGGCAGAGACAGGAATTAGTACCAGCTAATGGGGTGGGTGAAGGGGAAGGATCATGCAAAATGAGGTCTGATGTAGGATGAGGAGAGCCTGGGAGTGAATCGGCACCCGAGACAGTTTTGGGTGAGCCTGTGGTTGAGCACGGTCTGATGCGGGCTGATTTGACTTCCGTTTTATAGGGGCTTCTGGAGTTTCTTGGAGCTACTCTAGCATGCAAGTCCTCAAAGCTTATTTGTTCTTCCAGTGTTGAACAAGATTCCTCGACCTTGTTGTTCTTTAAGAAGCAGACTTCAGAGTTCAGGTTACCTTCTGTTAAATGATTATGCTCCTTATCATTGTGCGAAGTGAGCAAGTCATTGCCTTCCGCTAACTCTTGTTTGATTTGCATGGTCACAGTGTTGTCTTTGCTTGAGCATGTTTGAGTGATCACAGTGATCTCTTTGTTGAGGAGAACATCAGCCACGTCGTGAGACTCACAGTTAACCTTTGAAGCGGTGTTTTGGTGTTCACAAGGATCGGCTTTCTGTCCTCCCAGTTCTTCACAAGATCTCTCAAAAGGTGACGAGCAATGGGTATGGTTTTGTGAGTCAGACAAATGTGATGTGATATTGCTACGGGTGTTTATTGGTGAAAACATCTCCAACTCTGAAGCCATTCTGCACAATATATCCTCAGGCAAGCCTGGGGAGCACCTGGGAAGCGAGGAACCATTCAAATGCAAATTTGAACCATCTTTGGATGATTTAACACCATCTTTATTAATTTCAAAAGGTGGTTGCAACTCAGACGTTGAACTTCCAGAATCAATAAAAGCAAACTCTGAAGTATCTGTATTGTTGTTTGAATCTCTAGGTGAGAGGGTCAACAAACCCACGCCATTGGTTTTAGTCTTGCATTGTTGTTCATTGGAGACCCTTATTTCACAGGACGATTCTGAATTGTGTTTTGGTTGGGCCTGAGGTGAACTGCAAAGTGATTCGGTCACTGTGGTTTCCCAGTCAGACGGGAAACACAGAGTTTCAGGTACCATGTACTCGCATTCAGAACTTCCATGTGCATCTTCACCAAAATCATTCGGAGAGCTTTTAGCATTGTTGTCCATAGCAAAGTCATGACCCCTTGCTTCAACCATGAATTTGTTCAATCCGATACCACTGTGCAACTCTGCATCCATCTTGTTACACCCTACTGAAGAAATATGGTGCAACTCTTTATCTGAACACAAAATCTGAGAGTTCCTCTTCACGTCTCCATCTCTCACATGCTGAAGGGAGGCAAAGTCAGTCTGGGAAAGGAAGCAGGCCTCTTTCTGCACAGCCAGCTCCTGGGCTCTGTCCAACCAGCTGTCTGTGGTGATCCCTTGGGTCCTCATGGGTCTGCGTGGTGGTAGAGGAGGCAGATCCCATGGCCTTGAAACACCCATGTCAACTTCATCAACCCTTAAACCAATGTTCGCTTTGTTGTTTACACACAGCATCTGGTTTGTATTTGGTACTTGTGAGAGAAACGGTGCTGATGGAGGTCTAGTTGGAGTCCCACTTGGAGATTTGAGCCGGCTGGTGGCAAATGCTTCAAAATCATCCCATTCCCCAGCCCTTTCAGGCAGAGAGTAGTTTGGATTAGTGTTTGAGTTTGTATCTGATGTCTCAGGCATAATGGACGGAAGAGACCTCTGCCTGGACATACTTCTGGGTCTTTCCCGTTTTATTGCGGGCATTTTGTTCTGTGCTCCATTACGGACAGGACTGCATCCGACTGGATAATGATAAAGACTGGAATTAAGAGAACAGTAACCAGCAGTTGGAGACTTCAGTCCTTCCTCGGCTATAAGATCCTCAAAAAAGGGGTTTTGCTGTAGTCGTGTGAGGAAAGGGTTGGAGGGAGAGATGGATGGGGGTGTTGAGGAAGAGTGGGTGAATGGGTTGGTGTGATTGCCATTAGGGGGAGACACCGAGCCAGTAGTAACTGTTGCATCAGCAAATTCAAACACTCCATTTTCTAAGAATATTCTCTGAGGACCAAAATGCAGGCTGACATTCAAAGCCATTCACTTAAAAACAAAGTATCCCTTTGATGAACGTCTGGCAGTCAAATATAGATCATGGGGAACAGCTATTGATGATACTGATACATGTGCAATGTCAGACATCTTTTGTACTGTAACATAAAACCTAGTAGCCTTGCTTGGCCTTCACTCACCTTGGCTTGTTCTGGGAGTCACCGGAGCCAAACCATCCTCTGCGTCTGCCCTCAAGAGGAGCAGAAACCTGGCTCTGCTCCGGCTTGGCTGGGATAGAGTCACTCCTCCCGCTAGAAAACAGAGTTTTCCTCAGTTTTTTTCCTTTATCCACCACTTCCACAGGTCCAGCGGCCTGCACTGGCTTTCCCTCTGAGGTTGCGGCCCCTTGGGTCTGACTTTGAGCTTCATCTGCCTCACTGTCCTCCTTCTTGCTCTTTTCAATGGACCAGCGTCTCCCATTGCTCTTCTGCGAGTCCTCGCTGCGTCGGGTCAGATTCTGGAGAGACCGAGAAAGGGGTGCACATTTCTCCAGCAGGGAGCGCTTGGCCGGGATGGTACTTGGACTCTTGGGGCTGACAGGCTCGGATGAGTAGATATGGCTACCGTTGATGCAGAGGCTTGATTTGGAGAGCGCCATACTTTGGGCTTTTAGGTTTTCCACGGCAGGGCTGGGATGACGAACACCCATGATCTTACTGGCTTCATCACTGTGTGCGCGCTTGTGGGTCATCACTTTAAAGACAGAGGTCACAGAGAGAAGACAGAAAAAGTGTACAGACAAAGATCAGTATATGTCCCAACCAGACATTTGAGGAGAGGTTGTAAAGATGGAATGAAAATTCTGTCTTCATTCACTCACCCATTCCAAACATTTTTGACTTTCTTTCATCTGTGAAACACAACAGAAGATATTTTGAAAAATGTCTCAGGGTTTTTTGTCCACACAATAAAAGTCGATGGGTGTTTTGTTTTCGACCTCACAGACTTCAATTGTATGCACAAAAACTGTTGAAACATTTAAAAAAATATCTTTAAATATGATCCACAGAATAAAGAAACTCATACGAGTTTGGAACAACACAAGGGTTGTCAAACTATCATACATTATCATATGGAGCCCACAGTTTAGCAACATAGTTATGTAAATTCTCAATGATGATTATGATAATGAATTCTCCCAGTTTATCTCTTCTTATAGACAACTGACCTTTAATCCCACCTTCAGTGTCCATTGGGAAGGGCTCTATCACTCTGCTGCTGTAGATGGGTGTTCTGGACAGCTCTACTGAGACGAATGGATCCCCGGCGGACGATGCCATGCTACTGTCTGACGCCAATGATGAACAAGACCGTGTGTCTGAATTCTTGCGCAGTTTCCCCTTAAGGAAGAAGTCTTTCACCTTGCTCCGGTGTTCATCGACCCCCTCTTCCTCACCTGGCTCATCGGGTCCACCATCTCCTGCAAACGGAGGACCTACAGACCCTGATAGGGCGGCGAAGCGGCCAGGTAAAATGGCAGAGGAGGATTCCACATCTCCTCTCTTTCTTCCCGTGATGCGGTCCTTCAGCTTTCCAAATGCAGATCGGGGCTTGTCCTTTATGGTCAGATCGTACATACTAGCCGTCATGTTGTTGCGCGTAAACTGGACGGTGACCTGCAGCTCTCCCCGCTCCTTCTCCTTCCGACCAGCCTTGGAGTGAAGCTTGAGCCACCTTAAATATAAAAAGAAGAAAAAAAAAGGTCAGCTAAAAGCAAATTTAGATTATCTAACAGCCAAAGTTGTTTAAAACTTTGAAATTATTGTTTAATAACTTTATTAAGAGTAATCTTGAGCAAATGTCTAAATGATTGATTCTTTTTCATACATTATAACGCTGTAATAAATTT